CAATTAGGCCATCTGGGACTTTTATCAGGCCTGTCTGCACACACATGCCGTTCCTGGTGGAGGCTACAGCCAGAGGGCTCCAGTGATTGCCCTTGTGAGTCAGGCATTGCCATTAAAAACACCCAGACCCTGTGTTGTCCACTACTTCCACCTAAGAGACGCTGTCCGAGGGCTGACAGATTTGAGGTACAGTTGCACATGGAGGCGAGTGCAAGGTTAAATAAATTCAGTTTGAAGCAGAATAATTTCAAATGTAGTGTACTCTTTGTAAATACAATCATTGTGCTTGTAAATGACTTGTACTCCTTTTTTAAGGAAAAACACATTATTTGGTAAATTTTCATTGCACCGCTGAAGTTCTGTATATGTTCCTAACTTTTTCACCTTAGAAGCCCAAATGTACATGTGTCAAGCCCTCCCATCAGTGACAAGCCGTCCTGGCCCTCGCACAGCAAAACAGGCCCAAACCCACCACCATGTTTCATAGGTGGGATAAGGCTATTATGCTGGAAAGCAGTGTTTTTCTTTCTGCAAACAATGCTTCTCATTTCAACCAAAAAGTTCTAGTTTGGTGTCATCTGCCCACAAAACTGTTTCTAGTAACCTCATGACTTATGATCATAAACACTGGACAATGTGAAAAGAGGTCTTTAGTTGCTTAAAGGACGTGTGATGTTGTTATAGGTCATATTTATGCAGAAAATTACAACATTCCAAAGGATTCACAAACTTCCAAGCACCACATTTTAACATAACTATTTGTGTGTGTGTGTGTGTAGTGTAGAGCTCATCCAAACAGAGAACTCCTCCTGGACCTGCTGCAGCTGACCGTTGGAGCTCTGCCTGTCAGTTGCAGCAGGTCCAGCACCAGCAGCAGTAATATGGACACATGTCACTTGCAGGTGTTAGATGATGTTCCACTGCAGCTCTGTCACAAGTCGAACTGCTCTACACCAGGGGTTCTCAATTGGTGGGTCGCGACCCAAAAGTGGGTCGCAGACCTGTTCTGGGTGGGTCGCGGACAGCTGGTCAAAATTAAATAATATATAATGTGCGTCTCAGGTTGGACTTATTTTTTATTTTGAAAAAACTTTTATTTTGACAGGCACGGTAACCATAATTTGTTTGACGTTCATTTTAAGTTTGTGTTGATGTTGGGACGCAAGATGGCAAAGCGCAAATATGACCCGGAGTATTTAAAATGTGGATTTTCATACTAGGGCTGGACCCGAAAAGCCAACTATTCTTTCGCTGTGTTGGAATCGGGATATCAATTTTGATCTCCAAATAAAGCTCAACCTGTTTGTGTGACAGTGTCTTCTCTACCTTGGTCCAGCTCAGGTCACAGCAGAGGAACAGGTTGGGCACTGAGCATGATCTGAGAGCAGCTCTGTCTACTGTCACCCCAGACTCTGAAACTCTAATAAAGAGTAGAGGACGTGCCCAGCTGTCTCATTAACTTCAACAAATGACCTGATTAGGCCAAAACGTTATTTTCGAGAAGTTTTGATATTTATTTTATTCACTTTTGTACATGCAGTTGTCATGGTCCAGTTACTATGCATGGTTATATGCTCTAAAATGCATTTTGCACAGGAAAATATATTGAACATTGAATACTGAATTCTAAAAAAAATTGGGTCGCAACTTAATGACCATGGGAAAATGTGGGTCCCAGGGTGAGACCAGTTGAGAACCCCTGCTCTACACAAACTATGTGAAGGAAGAAACTATGGGGATATATATATATATATATATACATACATATATATATATATACACATATATATATATACACATATATATATAATCACACAGCTTCGTCAAAAACAACACAAGCATACAGCATTGCAGAAGAGTAAATCTACTGGGAGCTGCAGGGTGTTCCATTTGTCGATGGTTTCTTGTCTTAAGTGTGTAAATGCTTAGGTTTGTTATCACAGCACAGAGACTCACTCAGCTCATACATACCACCACATCATGAAGGGAGGGAGTCTTTTCATAGACATGCTAAACAATTCACACTTCATGTCCAAGTTACTGTCAGTTACTTATTTTAAGTGACCTGAAGATGACAGTAAACACAGAGCTGAACTGACCTTGGTCCTCCAGATACCAGTCGATAGCAGCAGTGTTACATCAGACCGCACCTTCACAGACAGGTGTACAAACGCAACAGTTTGTTGTCTGTGAGTTTAACTAGGTGTGTAACAACACACGTATTCGTACTGAACCGTTCGGAACAGGCCCTTTCGGTTCGGTACAGAGGTGTACTGCGGTATGAAAATTTTAAGACTATTAAGAATGGCCAATGTACAGAATTGTTTCAGTTGCGAAACTTAAAAGCTTATGGTGCCCACAGCTGTGGTGGACCTTCTTCGGCTCACAGTTGCGCTGCATTGCGGAGCTAAAAACAAGTAGGAGTTTCCAGTGGACTACAGGTTGTGACTGACTGTTTATTCTCCTGTCGGCGCTTCTTTATAAGCCCAGTCTGTATGGCTAACGAATGGGCTGGCTAATGTTAACAACAACAACAACAACAACAACAACAACAACAGGCCAGAGCTGGAAGATGCTCCGGTGTCATTAAAATCACCCGTTTGGGATCAGTTCGTTTTCCTGGTGAGGTACGAAAAAGGAGAAAAACAAGTCGACAAGACGAAAGGCGTATGTCCACATTGTGAAGTGGTCCTCAACTATGCATCTGGCAACACGTCAAACTTATACATTCATTTGAAAAGGCAGCATCCAAGCATAACTGCTGGCTGTGAGAAAAAAAATAACAAACAATTGTGACATTAACAATGACTCAACATGTCTCCTGTTTCACTTTAACTCTCTTTGCCTGACGTGTGCTTCATTGCGTCAGTCATGCTTTTCATTTACGTTGCATTACTAAAGTTGTGCTAACCTATCTTAAGTTACTCCCTGTCTGTTTATGTTAGCAACAACATCACTGTAGTTATGCCAACCTAGCATAGCGTTAGCTAACTGCTTAAAGCCAGTAACTAATTGCAGAAATAACGTAAGTGTACAAAATATCTGAGAGGACAGAACGACCTTTTATCATTCCGTCAGCTTGTTATTGAGGGTATCAATGCTCATTCAAATTGTAAAGCTATGTTTTGATTATCCACGACTCTAACAGTGTAGATCAAACGAATGGACAACTTGCTGGAAATCACAATACGGGTGGATATGAGCTGCTTGGTGGAGGTCTGTGCTCTCAGAGTGCTCTTCTAGTTAGCCATGTTTTACAAACTCGCCCCATTTATGAACAGCACACAAGCTCAAATTTGGCTGCATAATACTTCTTGCATTTATTTGAAAAATATTTATTTATTTTTTTAGATTTATCACTGAACTTGGTTGTTTGCAGCAGTGTCTTCCTTTTTCATATGTATGTACAGCAGACCAATTAGCTGGAATTGTTAATACTGCACTTGTACTTTTATTTATTTTATTTTGTTTATTTGATATTGAGAACACTGCAGCAGTATTTCTGTTACATTTGCATACGTTGTACATTTAATTTAATTTACTGAGCTGAGTTTAATAAAATAAACAAATGTTTGGGTTAATTAAGAGCAGGTTTATTATTTTTTTTAAACTTCCCCTTAACTGAGAACCGAACTGTACCGTACTGTACTGAACTGTGACTTCCGTACCGAGGTACATACCAAACTGTGATTTTTGTGTACCATTACACCCCTAAGTTTAACCAAAGATGTACATTTCCTCAGAACTAAATATTCAAGCAGTTCTTTTTTTAACAAACACCTAAAACTATTTTTAACAAATTCTGCAATCGGTCATTTATTTATTTATTTTATTTATTTATTTTTTTTACAAAAATACGTATCAAAATCACTGGGGGTCCTTTGTGCCTTTAATTAGATAGGACAGTCGAGAGAGAGACAGCACCTCTGTGTTGGGGACTATAGGCCCTGAACACGGGTCACCAGCTCAATCAGGTCAGCTATCGCGATGCCCCCTGCTGCCACTTCCAGTTCAAAGACAGTTTTTACAAACTTAACCCAACACAGTGGTGTGTTCCACATGTAACCATTTTCATAGTATTGCAGTCATCTGGCATCCTCTCTTGAGTGGTATGGCTGTTGTCAGCTGCTGCTACCATTATTCAGTAATAGTTGCTACTGTGTTTGACAGATAAAGCCCTCTCAGCACCACCTGCTCTGCACATTATCTTCAAGACATGGAAAACACTTATTGGCTTACGTTTTATGGTGACACCGATGAGAAAAGAGCAAACAGAAAAAGATGACAAACATATGAGACAGCCAGTTTTCAAACCCTTAGCTAACATCTTTTTCCTGCAGTAATACTGCACTAAAGGGTCATCATAATAACCCACACCTTGATTCCAAGTCAGTACCAAAATTCAGAACATGATGACTGCTAAGGAGCTATTGTGTGTTTAATGATCAGAGACAAGTTACAGACAGCCAAAAGCCAGTATGCCATCCTATGTACTGTCACAGAGTACTTAAAACACAATGAGCAGCTCAAACAAAGGTTGCCCCCCCATTCTGCACCATCCCCCCTTCGGTCGCTTCGCTCCCTCGACACAGTGTGCTCCCTCATACAATTGCAAAATGAAAATAAACTTGATTTGGTTTTGATTTTGATTCGAGCTGTGCACAGAATTGAAGGTGATTGGGTCTCACTTGTTACAATAAAACCATGTTGTTGCGTTCTGAAATGTCACCGTTACTGTTTGCAAGCTACAATAGCTGCATCTGTTTTAGCAAGGCTCCACACATAGGGTTCACAAAGACTAATGTTAGCTGCTTTATGTTTAGCAATAGTTCATAATGAGAAGTCAGTGCTGCTTATTAACAGCTCCCATCATGAGTGTGGTGAGACTTGTGGAATTTCAATGGCATTGGTATTAGCCACCAAATTTCTGATATTGTGACTTCCCTACTGCAGTAGCACTGTTTCCGCCATAGAACTCTTGTTGCAGTGAAGAGACTAACCTGAAGGGCAGGTAGGAGGCGTTTGAACCCGAGATCAGAGCTCTGTATGCCTCTTCTGGAGTTTTCTTCAGGTAAATAACCTTAGAAAGAGAGAGACAGAAACAGAGTGAGAGCCAGTCTTTACTACCTCCACTTGATATTTTCCTATAATTTGTAAATACAATGGCGACAATGTACCTCCCTTCGCTCCCTTTGGAAGCGTGGTTGATCTCTTGCTATTTAAAAATTCCTGTTTTGGTGTAAAAGCCCATATTTGTTCAGCCGAGCTAATGTTGAGATTGTTCAGTGTGTCCATAAGTCTGATTGTATCAGAGTCTGATGCTCCTCTGTACACACAATAAACTTTTGTCTCAGCTGCTCTAACAACATCAAATATTCAACACACAAAACAAAGCAGGAGTGCGTTTGTGCCAGAAACATCACGTTATGCTAGTCTACAAGGCCTTTAGATCTGTATTTAGGGAATGTCCACATTTAAGTATGATTCCATTTCTATTTCCACCTGCAGCATTTCCCATTAATGTGTCTGTTTTGTCTCTATGGGCCATGCTAACTGCACCACTGCCGTAGAGACTGAGTAAAAAAAGGAGTTGCACAAAACAGCGGTGCAGTTCAAAAGTACCACAAACTGCATCCTCCAAAATGACTACAAAGTTGAATCAACACTAATCAAAACCATCAACAAAGAACATTAAACATTAAAAAGATGATTTATTGCAGGACAGTTGTTTTAGTTTTACCTAGGTACTAGTACAATACTTAAGAGTGCATCTACGATAGGACCAGGCGGGGGTGACACAAGCCATCTCACCGATTTCAATGAAACTTTGCCAGTTTAAAGGGGTCCACCCAAAGCTACTTCAGTCTAAGTTTAAGGAAATTTGGTCAAACTGGGGGGATTTCACCACCCTTCCTTAGTTTTTTTTTTGCAAAATTTTGTTGGTCATTTTTGCAAAAAAAAAAAAAAAACTAAGGAAGGGTGGTGAAATCCCCCCAGTTTGACCAAATTTCCTTAAACTTAGACTTAAACTAAGAGTACTCATCTACTCTTTTATTATATATCCGTTTGTATCTCTTGTGCTGTTTTGTGGTTATTCTCCTGTTAAGTGTTTTGTTTCTAACAACCCCCCCCCAAAAATCTGCGCTCACTGGTGCAACTCATTTATTAATTTCTTTTTTCCACAAGCACAATGAAGCTCTGAGCTTCCATTCACTGTCACACTGTTTTAGAAAAGCTTCTTTTTGAGAAGAAAAAAAATTTTAGTCTGGACAAAGGACTGAAACAGAGGGACAGTGAAACAGAGATATCTGAGAGATCCTGTACAGTGATGCCTCTTACTGTCAGTACGTCTGTGTATCTATTGTGTTTAGAAGCATTATCATGAGACACCCTGAGCCTCAGGAAAAGAACAAGGACATTGCAACATGAAAAACAAGGCAATTGATTTTATTATTATCTTATTTATTCCTCATATCCAAGTAAGAAAGTGAGCACGCTTTAAGTTTTGGAACTACACTTGCCATGACACTTTGGGAGGTGAGAAATATAAACCTGTCCTGTGGTGTCAGTGAGTCGGGGGCTACAGCTTGTTTTTAGGCCTATATTTGTTTACATCAAAAGTAGCTGAACTGACGAGTGGCACTTCCTTTTTGTAGTATAACCACAGACAGACAGTAAGGCAACTTTCCTTGGATTATTCTGACACAGCAGAAAATTTATCTTCATCTTTTTCTGTGATTTTTAAGTGGATTTCAAGGGTTTTGGGAGAGTAGTTCCTCGTCTGAATTAATGCTGCAAAGACAGCAGTGGTTGGCTGTACAGACAGCAAATCCACCCTTCGGCTCGAGTCAGGAGGCCTCCGTTTGAAAAGCTCAGATTTACACACACTGGTCAACCAGGAGAAGTAATGTACTCACAGCATAGGCTCCAATCAGAACAGCAGCGTTGGATCTCTTTCTCTGGTCGAAGCTTGTGTAGTGAACAATTCGCTTTCTGGTCAGAGTGAAGGACTGCACAGAAGAAAAAACAACACAGCACTGTTAGAGCATTATTCAATAAGCTGATCATCAGCAAAATTAATGTCATTGGGCTTTGGACTGTTGGATGGACAAAACACTATGTTTAAGACGTTAACCTGAAACAGAGAAGGACATTTTCGGTGTTTTTAGATGAGCTGAAAAATAAAAATTAAATTAGTTAACTTGTGAAAACCATGTTGAAAATAACTTTCAGGTACAGCCCAAACTCCAACTACTGTAGAAGTGACAGCGGCTGTGTCAAAAAACAGTCAGCGGCAAATTCTTACAGCAGGCTGTATAACCATTTTCTGTTTTTATTTTCTCATTAGAGGCTGTCTACCAACCCCTCCGACTCATTCATCAGTTATGCAACAGTTTCTAACTCTGGCCCGCGGGCCAATTTAGGCCCGCCACATCATTTTATGTGGCCCGCGACAGATGTGTCGTTCCTAATCTGATAAATTAATAGGATTTACCTGATATAAAGTAATATAATGTTATAAATCATGTTATAATAACACAGCAATGTGCCTACACAGGGCTCCAGACTGCGACCAAAATGTTCTCACGTGACCATTTTTGAGCATGTGCAAGCCAAAGTTTCATGTGGTCGCATTGTGCGAGTGAATGACGATCATCAGGCTGACCTGGTTTCTTCAGTCTGCACAGGTAGCTGCTCCTTATTGTGGTTGGAAATAGTCATGTTTCTTCCACATTGACTCAGTCTCTCTCTGCCTGACGCGTAATGCTGTGTTCACACCAGATGCTAGTAAAATCATTCAGGCGAATGATTTCCATGTAAAGTCAATGTGAAGATACGATTAGACGCAAGTAAACGTCCCGCGGTGCGACTCGCGCGATTAGCGCTGCGCAACTTGAGCGAGTTATTTGTGCGAATGACGCGATTCTAGCCGTGCTTAACGTGCGTTAAGCACAAATGGCGCGACTTTGCGTTTTGCTGTGTTCACACCAGAGGAGAGTAAAATAATTTGTGCGAATGATTTACATGTAAAGTCAATGTGAAGACGCAATTAGATGCGAGTAAACATCCCGCAGCGCGATTGATGCGAATTGAGCGAGTTATGCGGTGTTCACACCAGACGCGAGTAAAATAATTTGCGCGAATGATTTACATGTAAAGACAGTGTGAAGACGCGATTAGATGCAAGTAAACGTCCCATGGCACGATTGGCGCTAATTGAGCGAGGTATTGGCGTGAATGAAACAATTCTCCCCGCGCTAAAAGCACATATCATGCATCACGGGCGTTTGAAGAGCAAGTTGAAAAATCTGAACTTTTGCGATCTGCGAACCACGATGGCCAATAAGGTATCACAATGCCAGCGGGATAAACCTCCACTGGCTCCTCGTCGCTGTGGTCAACGTACTCCTGCTGGCGGCCGCTCGTCCGTGTTGTTGTATGTGGCACGGAAAAAACATGGCTCTATCTCAGCGAGCGCCTGCAGTTAGTATCCTGGAGGGATATCCTGGTACCGATCTTCTCCAACAGGTTGTCATACTGGGTCTGGGTCAGGCGAAAACAGCACTGGAAGCGGCCGTCATCCAGGTGCAGCTCCTGAAGAAGGTGGGGGAATTCCCCGAGCTGTGTGCGTCTATGGATGGAAAACTGCAGCTTCCCTTACCTCCACTGATAGAAGGTGACATGATGCCAGATGACAGATCAGAAATTCCATCCCCAGAAATTACACGTCATCACCCTCACTTACACTCAGTCGCTGACAAGACTCAACCTGTTGATCAAGACGCTCCCATCCTCTTGCTCTTGGGGAGAGACATCCTCAGGGTGCGTAAAGTACGTGAGCAAATCAATGGACCCCAAAACGCACCTTATGCTCAGTGACTAGACCTAGGTTGGGTCATTGTGGGAGAGGTGTGCTTGGGAACTGTTCACAAACCATCAGAGATTAATGTCTACAAAACGAACATACTGAGCAATGGCCGCACGTCCTTTTTCAAACCATGTCCCAACGGTATCCAGGTGAAAGAACACTATGGGTCTGTTGCTCAACATCATGGTCCCATCTTCTCAGCCAGTGAGGAGAACACAGGTCTCACTCTTGCTACAGACAATCTAGGGTGTTCAGTGTTTGATAAGTCTAAGGATGACAACAAACCTGCACTTTCCATAGACAACAAAACCGTCTTGGCCATCATGGATGCAGAGGTCCATCAGAGCAAAGAAAACAACTGGGTTGTTACCTTTTCGCTCTCCAAGAAGGCGGCTCCCAAACAACAGAGAACAAGCTCTAAAGCGTCTCTGCTCACTTCGGAAGACTATGGAAAGAAAGCCAGAGATGAAAGACCATTATATTAAATTTAGGCAGAAAATGGTGGACAGTGACCAAGCTGAGCCTGCTCCAGCCTTAGACAAAAGCAAAGAACATTGGTACCTGCCTACGTTTGGTGTTTACCACCCTCAAAAGCCCGGCCAGATACAGGTTGTTTTCGATTCAAGCGCTGAATGTGATGGAACGTCTCTCAATGATGTGCTCCTCAGCGGGCCAGACATGAACAACACCCTGGTGGGAGTCCTTCTGCGTTTCAGCAAGGAACCTGTGGCTCTCACAGCTGATGTGGAACAAATGTTTTATTGCTTTGTTGTCCAAAATGATCACAGAGATTTCCTGCGGTACTTCTGGTACGAGAATCATGACATCAACAGCCCAGTGGTAGAATACAGGATGAAAGTCCATGTATTTGGAAACAGCCCTTCACCAGCTGTAGCAATTTCTTGCATGAGACGAGCAGCTCAAGAAGGAGAACAAGAACACAGTTCTGATGCAAAAAGATTTGTGGAGAGACAGTTTTATGTGGACGATGGTCTGACTTCCATTGCCACACCTAAAGAAGCAATAGATCTCCTCACACGGACAAGAGAGATGTTGGCAGAATCCAGCCTACGACTACATAAACTGGCGTCAAACAACAGCCAAGTTATGGAAGCGTTCCAAATGGAAGACCGCGCCAAAAATCTAAAGAACTTTGACCTGGGAAAGGATCCTCTTCCTCTTCAGAGGAGCTTGGGACTCTCCTGGAACCTGTAAACTGACAATTTCATTTACCTAGTGTCTCAGGAAGAAAAGCCATTCACACGAAGAGGTGTGCTGTCCACAGTCAACAGTCTGTACGATCCCTTGTGTTTTGAGGCACCCATCATAATACAAGGGAAAGCACTAGTATGAGAAATGTCGTCTGAAGAGAGCGAGCGGGACGCTCCACTACCACCTGAAAAGAAAGCAAGATGGAATTCCTGGAAGGATTCTTTGAAGGCTCTGAAAGACCTGCAAATACAGAGGTGCTACATGACAGTCTCGCTGTCATCCACTCAGAGCAGGGGCGGGGCTTCCGGGGGGGGCTGGAGGGGGCCCGGACAGGAGGTCAGCTTTGACGGAGTGCGACGTGTCATAATGGTCCATACCCTGGCTCAGGGTAGCAGGAGTAACTTACACCTGGAGCAGTCCAGAATATAGGCATAGTCTGCTTAAGATCAAATGTGTTTATACAGGGTTTATATTGGTTGCCCCAGTCAGGACAGAGTCATGGTTGCTAAAAATTTTACAAGACCGACTGACTTTAGTGATGTAGTAGGTGTAAAATATTGAATAAAATATTGTACTGCATGAATTGCTTCATTTTTGTTCTCACATTAAACTTTATTATGCGCACATTTACAAGTTGATCGCCGATATTGTCTCCAAGTGTATTTTGGGTAAAACTCATCACCAACCGTCCACCAACGTCATCATCAGTCACTTGTCAACAGATTGCGAACTAGATCGAGCATTTTTACGGACTAATGCTGTGTTCACACCAGACGCGAATTCATCGGGCGTTTCGCGTGTTGCGCGCGTCTTTGGCCGCGTATGTGCACTGACTTTACTCGCTTCATTCGCGCATATAAATCGCGTCAATCGCGCGTCAAGACTTGTGTCTGAATTCAAGTCATTGGCGCGAATGACGCAATCCAGACGCCGGATCCATGGGATCCCCCAGAGACGCACACAGCTTGTTGAGTTCCCCCACCTTCTCCAGGAGCTGCGCCTGGATGACGGCAGCTTCCAGCGCTGTTTTCGGCTGATCCGGACCCAGTTTGACAACCTGTTGGAGAGGATCGGTACCAGGATATCCCAGGATACGAACTACAGGCGCTTGCTGAGATAGAGCCATGTTTTTACATCGCCACATACAACAACACAGACGAGCGGCCGCCAGCAGGAGTAAGCTGACCACAGCGACGAGGAGCCAGTGGAGGTTTATCCTGCTAGCATTGCGATAGCTAGCAACTTGGCTCGCTAGCTGGCTAAGTTGAAGAGTAGCATTCTTGTGTGTGAACTGGAGGAGAGGGACAGCCCGTCTGCTGAGCACTCAGATCTGCCCTGGCCAGTAATGTAACTGCTTATCTCCTGGGGTGAGTAAATCAATCAGTAATCAGTGTAGTTGCAAAAAATTAATGAATCATGTTGTTGACTTCACCAGACAATCTCAATGCTGATTGGCCATCCTGGCGCATCAGATCGCAAAAGTTCAGATTTTTAAATTTTCTCTCTGGACGCGTGTCTAAATCGCGTCAAACTCATTCAGTTCGTGTCAATCACGCCGCGCTAATCGCAGGAGTCGCGCCGCGGGACCTTTATTTGCGTCTAATCACGTCTTCACATTGACTTTACATGTAAATCATTCGCGCGAATGATTTTACTTGAACATGAGTGGCACTTCATACAAGCATAAAAGTGGAACAGCAAAGCGAAAAGAAAGGGAACAGAGAGAGCAAGGAAAAGCCAAATTACAAAAACTGGACACATATTTTGTTCATCGTCCTGGAAAGGAACCAGACTTTTTTGTTGGCAGTGATTCAGGCCCGCCAAAACTGCCACCACAGCGAGGGAGCCAGGTCAATTCCAGGTAGCAATTCTAACAATTACTATACACAATGTGTGAGTTAGTTGTAAACTGTGGTTGTAAATTGTTGC